TATATATATATATGGGGTTGAAACTGAAACACTGGCGATTTTAGTGTTGGAGGTTTCATGGCTAAATTTGACCAGCCTGGTGGCCAATCTTCATTGATTGCATATTGCACCAGTAAGAGCAGAGTGTGAAGGTTCAATTAGCAGAGTAATAGCACATTTTTGCTCAAAATATTGCAATGCACACAATATTATGGGTGACATATCAGAGTTCAAAAGAGGACAAATTGTCACAGCTGTCGCATCTGTGACCAAGACAGCAAGTCTTTGTGATATATCAAAAGCCACAGTATCCAGGGTAATGTTAGCATACCACTAGGAAGGACAAACCACATCCAACAGGAGTAACTGTGGACGCAAGAGGAAGCTGTCTGAAAGGGATGTCCGGGTGCTAACCTGGATTGTATCCAAAAAACATAAAACCACAGCTGCCCAACTCACTGCAGAATTAAATGTGCACCTCAACTGTTTCCACCAAAACTGTCCGTCGAGAGCTCAACAGGATCAATATACATGGCCGGGCTACTATAGCCAAACCTTTGGTCACCAGGCGTTTCAGTTTCATTGTCCAACCCCGTATATTTACTGTATATGTATTCTGTGCTGAACAAGAAATGGCAGAGGTTCTGCTTTGTGTCCCAGCAAGGTATTCTCCCCCTGCAGCTGTCCAAGGTGTTCAGCAAAACTAAACAGTTTGTTCCTGGCAAGGTCAAAAAACAGCCTGGCTTTCAATGATGAAAAATAACAGACTCTGCTGTCAGCCACTTTATGTAGAAGTGGTTCGAAGTGGAATAAACCAGCTGCCAAGCAACGAAGACAAGTCAACCACCATTACAGCTAAAAAAAAAATACATCCAGAGTACTAAAATGGAGTTTACTTTTTACTATTAGCACATTAAAAATAAACTTGAAATGTAATACTTTAAAAACAATAGCTGCAACTGAAACAAAGAATGTGACATTGAAGAAACAATAATGTGTCACAAAAACTGTTTGAGGACTGGACATCATCAAATTTCAAAGCTACTTATGAGTAAAAATAAACTGAACTGTTACATCATAACTTTGAATCTCCTGTTCCCGCGGTCTCTCTCTCTCTCACTATTGTTTCAAAGCAAAAGTTCAAGTTACAAAGCCATAAAAAGTTTAATATATTTTTCAAGGGTACACTGTCATGGAAATGTTATAATGTATTTTATTTGTCCATTTCCTAAAAAAACACAGCTACTCTCTATATTTCGATTGAGGTCAATGAGAATAATATACATGCTCCTCACATTGTAATATATATATTTTTTTAGCAGAAAACCTCAACTTTACACCACAGTTTCCCAATACAGTACTAATGTACTATTTTAGTATTATATCTGTAAATATGTGCTATTTTAACAATAATTAATATTAATAATAACAATAAAAATACCTTATATTATACAGAAAAAGATCTGGAAATATGATGACCCTGATGTTTCAAATTAACTGAGAATTAGCCTCACAGTACATACAGTAAATTTAAAAATAAGTACTTTACTGCTGAAAAAATTCAACAACTTCTGCAATTAAGGTAGCAATAACCATTTACTTCTCTAGGAACTGACAGTTCTGTTAAGTTGCACTGTGAATATATGTGTAATTATGAATATAAGAATAATTATGACTCATAGATGTTATTCATATTTTTACAGGTGTAGCATGTAGTACAAGACATAGAGTTTTGAAAACATTGTTTGTGTATTTTCATGTTTTTTATCTGTGCATCAGTGTAATTTCACCATTTTTCTACTGTTTTCCAGGAATGTGTCGACACAAAGTGGTGCTTTGGCCCAGAGGCAATGTCTCTGTCATTGGTGTGGAACCCCAGGGTTCACCTCCTGGGCAAAATCGAATCCCGATTAGGGCGGTTAGTACCTTCCAGTGGACTCACCACCCGCAGGAAGGTTTAGGGGAGTGGGTACGGTTAAGCGGATAAGCGGATGAAAATGGATGGATGGATGGATGGATGGTGTCAACACAAAGATGCTGAACTCCCTGCTCCGGCGTTGGGTGCGTGCACTCATGTGCACATCTCCATTATGTCACAGTGATGATCTGGCAGGTGAACGGGGGGCCTCAGCCCAAATCACCCATCCCTATAATGAGCTCATGGGAACCTCTGGATCATAGCAGCTTCTGGGCAGCAGGATTATCTGGTGAGAGGAAACAGCTGAGGCCTGTCCAGAGTCAGCGCTTGCTAATCAACGCTCCCACTGCACACACGTTTACCCTCACTTTTACGCTAACATTTATGTTCTTCGTTCATAATCACCCTCCCGCTCTTTTCTTTCAAGCGACAGGGGTCAGACTCCCACAAAGGCCCTGTGCCCACAAAAGTCAAAGGGGGCCACGGTGAGGGTATGGGAGGAGGAAAAGGGGACAAAAGCAAACTGAAGTGCTTGGTCAAAGCTGACAGGACTGCTGAGTCATCACTACTGTTGGTTCTCCAGTTAAAATCCCAGAGATGTTCGCGATCCAGAATCAACTTGTCCATTTTAGTCCAAGGCTTTGTTCCTTTGAAGGTCCCTGCTGTCACTACAGGTCAATGCATCACACAAGACTCAGCGAAAGTCAGGCAACTGTTGACTGTGGTTATGCAACAGCAGCAACTTTCAAACTCTGTACAGATGTCATGCATTTCCTGCCTGACCTGTGAGGCACTGGGTACAACATATCCATTCACATCCGGCTTAATTGAATTAGTTGAGCTATATTTATCCATGTACTTCAGTTGTGTTGGCCCAAATCAATCAGTACTTCGTAAAGCATGCTGACATAGTGGGCAGCTCAATACACTACAATCAGCATTGATGAACTGCCTACAGAGGAGACTCTTGGCCATTAAAAATAGGTCATATTTAATTTAACCATAGGGAGAGAACCATAAGTAATAAAAAATATATACTTCAGCTAAGATCATGGTAAGATTTAGTCAGAATTAGTTTATGCATCTTTAATTTGTAATAAAATGTATTAGGTAACATAAATGTACTGGTCTAAATGCTTTATGATTACTTTAAATCAAACAACTGTAAAAGTTACTCCTGACATTTAAATTATTCCATTATTTTATATTTTGTATCCAACTCAAAATGCTTTCAAAATGAATTTGGCCCACAGATGGTCTGAGACACTTCCAAATAGAAAAAACACAGTTGTTTGCTGACACATATGGCATTTTGGTTGTATTAGCTGTAGCAGCGTAGCTCACAGCTGTCAATCATTGTCAAGATCAATTAGTCTCCTAGAAATTCAACACATGAGTATTTTTGAAGTTACAGGTGAAAGATTCTTGTTATATTTCTGTTATATAAGAGGGATTGTGGATAAAATATATTCATGTGTTCATAGTTTATAGAAGTATGCAACATATATAATCATGTTTTAAAAAGATCATAAGAGATGTGCTAAAACATATAACCAGCTTGAACATAAAATGCTGCTTAAAGCTAGAACTGAAAACATGCAGATGTAGAGAAGGAGCTGCGAGGTTGAGATAAAACCAAGGTTTGTTGTGAAAAGAGGAGTACTTGGTGTGATGGGAAACAGAAACTTTTAGAATACAATTTGACAATGGCTGGATTCATAGTTAGAACACAAGGTCCCAACAACAGCACCTGGGCACGATAAGAACAGGATGAGAAACTAACGGTGTAGATGCAGTTGCCAAAAAGAATGTATGTCTGTGTGTAGAACAAATGAAGTCTGTATCGCTTGAGATGTACCACCTGGATGTGTGTGTCAATAAAACAAGCCTGAGTTGGTGGAGAGAGCAGGATTCAGCAGTCAACCCCCTGACTCTCCGCTGGACCCTCCCTGTGCACAGGCGAACTCGAGCAACGACTTTTGTCTTTTCTTTATACTTTGTGAAAGTTCTTGATCAACGAATCCGGGGTGGTAAAACCTTACCACAACAGGATCTATATTGTTTCATGTTATTGTGCATTGATATTGATTATGTTACAGGTAATGAACGCATACGCATTGTAATGTAACGGTTTTTAATAAGTTCTTCAGTAAAGTGAGCTACGAGCTCATAAAATAAAGGATCAACTGTGTCTGTGCATCATTGTGGCACATCTAAGGTTGAATGTGTGTGTATTGTGACAACATACACAACAATTGGCGACGAGGATCCAGAACCAAGCGGAGCTTAATTTTTACTCGCGAAGGAAGTGAAAAACCTCGACGGGGAGAGGAACGAAACTCCGGAAAGGCGGAAGTAAAACACGAGCCAACATCGCGGGAAGTACGTGTACCATGGCAGGGATAATTGGAAAAACGGACAATTTTGATAGTGCATCGGAGGATTGGACGACGTACATCGAAAGGTTGGATCAATACTGTGTTGCAAATGATATTCCAGAAGAGAAAAAGGTAGCTGTACTGCTTACCGTAATGGGAGCTAAGACATTTAGCTTGCTACGCAGCCTCTTGACGCCAGACAAACCCGTTGATAAGCCATACAGAGACATTGTTAAAGTTTTAGAACTTCATTTGAATCCGAAGCCTCTCGTCATTGCTGAACGTTTCAGATTTCATAAAAGAAACCAGTTAAAAACGGAGTCAGTTGCTGAATTCGTGGCTGAGAAGATTATCTGAGCATTCTGATTTTGGAAGAAATTTGTTAGATTCACTACGGGATAGATTCGTATGCGGGCTGCACAATGAAAACATACAAAAACGACTGTTAACAGAACGAGAGCTGACGTACAAACGTGCAATTGAAATCGCCACTTCAATGGAAGCTGCTGCCAAAGGTTCTGTCGAACTTCAACAGCAGATGGCGCAAAAATGCAATGTACACAAAATAGACAAAAGACAACATAAAAATGTTTCATGCTATCGGTGTGGAAAGAAGTCCCACACTCCAGCTGAATGTTGGTTTAAAGATAACGAGTGCAGACAATGCCAGAAAATAGGTCACATACAGAAAATGTGCAAAACAAAAGTGAAAGAGAAAACGTTCCACAAACGTAAGGATAAACAAAAAGACATGCATGACATTGAAACTTGCTCTTGCTCTGACACAGACAGTACACAAGACCTAGCTTGCTTTGATGTATGTTCGTTGAAAAGACCCAACAGGGGAATCATATGGGTTTCACCCAAAGTGGAAGGAGAGACACTGACTATGGAATTGGATACTGGATCTGCCTTGTCAGTCATCTCCAAGAAAGATTACCAGACATACTTCTCACATCTGCAATTGCAGTCTACTGATGTAATGCTAAAAACGTACACTGGGGAGTGTATAGCCCCAATGGGAGTGATCTCAGTGAAAGTCTACTATGGTGATCAACAGTGGGTTTCACCCAAAGTGGAAGGAGAGACACTGACTATGGAATTGGATACTGGATCTGCCTTGTCAGTCATCTCCAAGAAAGATTACCAGACATACGTCTTACATCTGCAATTGCAGTGTACTGACGTAATGCTAAAAACGTACACCGGGGAGCGTATAGTCTCAATGGGAGTGATCTCAGTGAAAGTCCACTATGGTGATCAACAGCGTGTACTGTCCCTGTATGTTGTTGAGAGAGGAGGTGCACCCCTGTTTGGACGTGAATGGCTTCGTGAAATACAACTGGATTGGCAGTCAATCAAAGAAATGCAGGCAACAGTGACTAAAAAGCAGTGCAACAGCTTTACAACTGAAAAACTGAACAAAATCCTTACAAACGCAGCAGTTTTTCAAGATGGCATTGGCACGTTAAAGCACCTGAAAGTACAGATTTTGTTAGATGATGATGCCGTACCCAAGTTTCACAAGGCACGCCCAGTTCCATACGCCCTCTGCCCAAAAGTGGAAAATTAACTTCAAAGACTGGATAGAATGCCTTCATTTTCCAAAGTGGACTGATCTGAATGGGCAACACCAATAGTTCCAGTTGTTAAGGGAAATGGCTCAGTACGCATCTGTAGAGATTTTAAGGTAACCATCAATCCGGTCCTGAAGGCTGAACAGTACCCCTTACCGCGTATTGATGACATTCACGCCCAGTTCCATACGCCCTCTGCCCAAAAGTGGAAAATTAACTTCAAAGACTGGATAGAATGCCTTCATTTTCCAAAGTGGACTGATCTGAATGGGCAACACCAATAGTTCCAGTTGTTAAGGGAAATGGCTCAGTACGCATCTGTAGAGATTTTAAGGTAACCATCAATCCGGTCCTGAAGGCTGAACAGTACCCCTTACCGCGTATTGATGACATTTTTGCAGCGCTGGGCCAAGGTAAGCGGTTTTCCAAGATTGATCTTGCGCAGGGGTACTTGCAGATGGAGATGGAGGAGTCTTCTAGAAAGTACCTGACTATAAACACCTCCAAGGGTCTCTATCAGTTCAACCGCCTGGTCTTCGGCATCGCTTCAGCACCAGCAATCTGGCAGAAGGCAATAGAGCAAGTCCTACAAGGTATACCGAACACACAATGCTATTTGGATGACATTGTAATTACAGGAGCTAATGATGACACACATCTTGAAAACCTGGAAAAAGTTCTCAAAAGATTGAATGAATTTGGATTACGTGCCAACAAAGGAAAATGTGAATTCTTCCAGGATGAAATTGAATACTGTGTCCATAGAATTGACAAAAATGGGCTACATAAATGCAAAGACAAAATTGATGCTGTTTTAAAGGCCCTACCGCCACAAAATGTCTCTCAACTGAGATCTTTCTTGGGCCTGGTAAATTATTACCGAAAATTCCTACCCAACCTGTCCTCAGTGCTACACCCATTGAATTGCTTACTCCAACATGGCAATAAATGGCACTGGTCCCAGGACTGCAAAAAGGCCTTCAAACAGGCAAAAGAGTTAGTGACGTCAGACAACATGTTGACACACTATGATCCACAAGTGCCTCTCAAGCTCGTGTGTGACGCTTCCCCTTACGGAATTGGAGCCGTGTTATCACACCTGTTTACTGATGGAACAGAGCAACCAATAGCATTTGCTTCACGATCTCTAAATGCAGCTGAGCGCAACTATGCGCAAATTGACAGAGAAGCTCTTAGTCTGGTCTGGGGAGGGAAAAAGTTCATTCAGTATTTGTATGGCAAACGCTTTCCTGACAGATCATAAGCCTCTGATGTCCATCTTTAATCCAGCTAGAATGTTAGAGATGGAGCTACCAGGTAGGAGAAAAAGAGGAAGGCCAAAGACGAGATATGTGGATGCAGTGAAGGAGGACATGCAGATAGTTGGAGTCAGAGTAGAAGATACAGAGAACAGGGAGAGATGGAAATCATGGGAACGCTGACGGGCTGTCCCGCTTGCTACTACAAACTGCACTGCCAGTAAACACAAAGGAAGCAGTGGATATGTTGCATATGGCACAAGTGGATCCTCTACCAGTCAGAAGTGAGGAGATGCACGGAAGACAGGCCGCGACCCTACCTTGTCCAGAGTCTACGATTTGACTCTGAATGGCTGGCCAAGCCAGGGTGACTCATCCTTACCAGGCTATTTCAGTCGCCGTGAGCAGCTCACAGTGCATCAAGTTTGCATCTTGTGGGGGGCGAGGGTAATCATACCGCAGAAGCTGCGTCCCAGAGTTCTGACTGAGCTACATGAGGGACACTTAGGCGTGGTGAAAATGAAATGCCTTGCACGAAGCTTTGTATGGTGGCCTGGGATCGATGAACAGCTCAAAGACGTGGCCAAGACATGCAACAGAACCAAAAGTCCCCACCAACGGTCCCACTGCATATGTGGGAATGGCCTACAAAGCCTTGGCAACGTGTGCACATTGACTATGCTGGACCTTTCCTTGACCGCATGTACCTGGTCGTGGTTGATGCACAATCAAAGTAGCCTGAAGTTTTCTGCACAAAGACCGCAACCTCTGCAAAAACAGTTGAACTGTTACTGGCTTTGTTCTCACAAACAGGTCTTCCACATCAGATTGTGAGTGATAACGGAACACCATTCACTTCTGAAGAGTTCCAGCGCTTTAAGAAGAATGGCATGCAGCACACCACCATTGTACCTTACCATCCAGCTTCCAATGGCCAAGCCAACAGTCAATGAAGGCCATGGATAAAGATTGTGTATCACTACACCACTGTTTTCCGTGCAAATATGCGTTCTTTGCAGACCTTCCATATTGGACAACAGGTGATAGCCAAGGACTACCGCAACCAAGGAAAAAAGTAGCAGCCTGGCATCATCGTTTCACAGACAGGACCATTAACCTACAAGGTGAACATTGGACAGAACCTGGTGTGGCGTAGACACGTGGATCAACTGTTGGATGCATCTGGGCCAACACGCGTGGATGCCCATGCTACATCTTTCCCTGGTGGCTTGGAGCTCTGTGACGAAGCACAGGATACCGTCAACCCTGAAGATGATGCAGGTGGCTCTGTACCAGCCCCACCTGATGCTCAAAGTCCTGCTGTCACCCCTTCATCTGTGAAGCGTTACCCAGACAGGATTTGGAGACCTCCAGAAAGATTCAAAAACTGAGAACGTTCATGTTATCTTAAGATAGTGTAGTTGGGACTAGTTATAAACCACCTTAGTTTAAATGGGGATATCAATGCTGGAAGGGAGGAGTGTTATATAGGAGATATTGGGATCTATATTGTTTCATGTTATTAGTAGTAGGTAGTCTCAGGCAAGGAATAAAACAGCCGGTAGATGGTCGATTTGTTTAATAACAATACGCCAAAACAGGTCCAATGAGCAAAATAAAACGACTGGAGAAGTATTCAAGAAATTTTCATACAACAGTTACCAGTACGCAAAGTCAAGAATAACCTTCTCAAGAATAACTTCTAATGCATCATCAGTGATGTGCACTTTTATACCTGTGTGGGGGAGTTGTTTTCGGCTTCCCAGGTGTGTGTTTAAATGTTGTAGGCCAATGCAAGAGAGAGGCTAGGCTCTTGTGGCCAATAATATTATTGTTCTTGTATTATGGTTATCCCTGCAGTCGCCACTATGTGGCGCTGCTGCTCCATGATTCAGCAGTGTTGGAGGACAGTTTATGAACCTTTTGTTGCTGAAATCAAAAGGAATGGATGGATCTATGTGAAAGATTTGAGCAGGATCAGAGGAGGTTTGTACTGATGTGGAAAAAGCAGTCTATCTGTCGTTCTGTGTTACTTAAATTACTCTCGCAGGGGAGGGGCAGTGGTCAACAGCTGCCAACCCCAGGCCTGATGGCGGACAGGTAGAACAAAACCAACTCAAGATTTCTCATCACGTATTAATGCCATAATATGTGGGGAAAGAACCAAATGTTGACCCTCGTCAGCCTTAGTAAGTTAACTGAGAAACCTTAAAAGAAAAAGACAGGACTATTTACCTCTTCTCTTTTTGTACTTTTTTGATAAACACTTCAAAGTGTAAAACATGTACATGTGAACAAGCAAAAAAGGTGAAGAGTCAGAGTTAACGTAGACAAGATCAGGTCTGTTCTGTGTCAAGGCCACTAATAAGATAAGATCACTAATTATCTGCAGTTCAATTGCTGGCAGAAGCTGAATATTTAGTAGTTGCCAGCTGGATCTCTGTAAGATCATGCACACACACAAAACTTGTGACAGCTAGGTTTAAATGTAAACTTAAAAAAAGGTTAATCCTTAAAAAAAAGTTAATGCATTTATGTCCTACAAATGTTTTTTACCTTAGACCTTCACCAGTACAATGCTATTTTTTCTTTTTTCTTTTTTATCAAAAAGTGCTGCTTTTTTGCTTACTATGACAAACCTCTGTTATAGCTGGTCTGGTTGTTGCTGAGCGAGTTAGAAAACCAATGTATTACTCGTTTCAACCTACTTTTACTTCTACTTGTTCTGACCAGTCTGAACAGAAGTCTAGTAACGTCCCCAGCTTTTTACATGTGCTGGGTTTGCTCCTGTTTTGCAGAAGCAATGCAATTCCACCATTTTCATCATTTCCTCCTTTTTTTAAAAAAAAAACAGAACATTCTGGTTGCACCGGTCTGGTAAAAAAAAAAAAGTCTTACTAGTGGGTGGATAAACTAGGGCGAGTGTAGCAGGACAAAATGGAATGTGAATCATCTCAGAAAGCTGCCTTGCATCTCCACGTCTCATCTCAGTTTTAGTAAGTTAAAAAAAAAAGTTTTTTTTAAACAGTGCAACTTAAATGAAAAACCTATTACATTTTCTTTCTCTTTTCACCAACTGTTTGACATGTGAGACGACCACCTGAGACAGTGCTTTTTGGGCAGTAATGCAAAATTGGCTTCCCCTGAGATTAGGAGTAGAGGGAGTGCAGGCCATGAGGATGAGGGGAGTCCCTCCATAATGTGACACTATCACTTACACAAAAGTAAAAACAAACCTTGTCTGCTATTATTTAAGTATAAAAAGTAAGTAGTTCAAATCTTGGGCAACCACAACACAAAAAAGAAAAAAAAAATCTATAATTGGAGCTAAATCCAAGAACAATAACAACTAAACTAAAAATAACTGAGGGAACCCACTCTTGGATCCAGGTTAAGGAGGCAAGATTACTTCAAAGAAAGTTTCCAGATGAAAACAGTGTGCTGCAGCTGTTGTAAAAGTCCAGTCTAGTTGTTGTGGGTCACTGAGAAATGTCATAAGGAGAAAGAAAAACTCTCACAAATTCAGTGCATTGTTCTTGACCTTTTCAGTTTTTTTTTCTAAGAAAAAATCTGTTATCACTTAAGTGAAGTTCTAAAAGTTAGCCCACTGTCTCAATCTGGTGGTAACAAAGGCTGAAAACCAAACTACTAGTGATTTTTTTACATATATAATTAAACAGAGCCACACAAGTCAAGTAAAGAATAGAATGTGCAAAACAAAATCCCAATGAGGCAGGAGGACCTAGTCTTTGCACTTGTCACCACTGCCTTTGTGAAAAACTTTCATTAATATAGACTATGGTGGTTAGAACGTTGTTATTTTTGGCTCTCCATTTCCATGATTCAGCCTGGACATGATTCATCCAGCCCTTTGTGTGAGTCCATAAGTGCCATGACTGCAGAAGAATCAGGGATGACAGAAAGACAGAGTGAAAGAAGTGTGGTGGGGTGGGCCTCTGTGACCTTTTCCTTTACATCACTGCGAAACTGGCAACGTTTGGGTGATTTTCCTCATCTCGTACAGACTAAATGTGTTTATCTGCACATACCCTCAGCAGCCTAAAACAGGAAAAAAGCTATAGCTCCACACTCATAGTTCCTGTTTGTGCCACCAAGGGAGGGCAGAAACAGATCTGTCCACCAAACTCAACTGTAGTTATTTGTCCAAGATTCTGTTGGTTGGTCATGGACTTTGTTTACTTCACCACTATCAACAGCATTGCCGTAGTTGGAGATGTACAAACAAAGCTGAGCCCCGGAAATGGGTTACTGCGATGGTCAGGGAAATTCTTAAAGACACCCTTCAGCGAGAAGGACAGGCATTGAGTCTGCGCTCCTCAGTGCGCCTGGCATGATCTGGATGAGGATCAATCTATGGTGGAAAAAAAAAGCAGAACAAAGTGTTTATTGTGAGCAAAGGGACAGTATGCTTTAACAAGTAACAAGAAGGTCCATAAAATATTTGCTCTGCGATATCTGATGGTTACCTCAGAGTACAGGGGAGGTGGCTGGAAACGGAATTCATGAATATAGGCGAAGAGAGGTCCGTCCAGCTCCTCACGGGCGGCGGGGACATCAAGGCTGCTCTGCCGCTGCTCTTCTGTCACAATTTCTGCATAGCTTGGAGGAGCTGCACAAAAAGCAAGTAAAGTGTGAGCAGTATATTTAAAATAAAATATATACATTTAATATTTAATCTACCTTCTGGTCTCTCTGGCAGACCCATGGCCAGCCAGCTCATGCTGCACTGGCTGCTGACACTGGAAGTACGGGAACCAAAGGAGTGGAGAGGAATGGTTCCAATGACCAGAGGCAGGGTCAAAGACAGATTGATAGCCCCAGGTATATCCACATATACCTACAAAAAACACAAAAGCAAAATCATGTAAGGTGTTAGTCACATTTGAAGAATTTGTTAGCTTTAATTTATTGCTGAGCATTTTTATCCCTTTGTATGACAATGACAAGCTAAGCAGAGCTCTACTGGTTGTGAGGTAGAGCTCTGTATGTGGGTCAGTGTATTCAGGTAGGTTGCTTATGCAAGAACAGTTCCTGTCTGGTGACTGTCTGTTCACAAGGTAAAGAGGTTATAAGCACCTTCAGGATAGGTGATGCCATGAATATTCCAGGCTAATGCTCTTAGCAGCATGTGGCAGTAGCACATGGCGCAACCTATAAGGCTGAAACTTGGCACAGCTAGCTGAGTCTCCAGGAGCAGGGGCATTGTACTGTACTAATGATGGAGTGAGTCACAGTTGATAACAAAATTTAACTAAAACGAATGATAATCACCTCTGGGAATTTCTTTTCTTTCTTTGTAGCTTAAGATGCAGTAGCTAAAGGCTAAATAGAAAGTATAAGCAGCCCGAAAACATGGAAGCTGTACTAACCATGAGTGAATACTCCACTCTGATGATGCTGCAGTCCAGGATGGATGGGGACACAGGTGGGATCTTCAGCATCTTGCCATTCCAAGTATCTGTTTTGCCTGAGGACAAAGACTCTCCCCGCAGGTTAGCCACCAGGTGCTTGACCTCCTTTATCTTTCCTTTGGCATAGAAAGTCTGAGTCTGGTAGATGGCTGCCTTTGGCACCACTATGCGGGATGAGCAGTTCTCAATCTCAGCAAAGATCTGGATTGACTCTCCTACGGAGTTAAATATGGCATACCAGAGATTTAAAAAAGAGACTATGAATATTTGCAAATACCTGTAATCAGCATTATCTTAGCGTGTAATTACAAATCAAAGCATAATCTGAAGGCAATAGTCCTTTATTTAGTTGTCAGATGATGAGCAGAAAATTGTCGAATCATTAGCTTATCCTCACCTGGGGTGTATCCCTTCCTTTCAATTTTGGCACTTAGGGAAATAGGACCTGAGGTGCAGAACCAACAGCAAAGTGTCTTGTCCTTTGTGCCGGCCTGTGGTGACTGAAGAAGTAAAAGACAGATGCTTTTAATTCGCAAAAAAAAAAAAAGTATAATAAAGATTTACCAGGTAGTTGAAGGATAATGGTTAAGGGCTAAAACATAAATAATAATTTGAGGAGAGCTGCCCTTGCCATTCATTGGCCACATTAGGTCTGAGGGGTAAACTGCTGACAAGTCTTTTCTCCATTGCTTCAGTCTATAAAATCTTTAAAGTCTTCATACAATGCCTTCATGGCAAGACAAACCTCAAAAGAACTCACCAGCAATAGTGGAGTGTTGATGTCAATGTGCTCAAAGACTGTAAATTCCTTCTTGGTCTTCATCGGCAGAAGCCAAGGTCTGTGAAGTTCTGCCTTTACCCAGTAGCGCACGTTGCCATGCTTCCCTTCGAAAGAGGTAGCCAGAGGTCTACAGTAGATAAGAAACAACGAGGGGGCAGAAGAGGAAAGTTAAATTAGGTGCAAAAATGTTGTAACAGCTACATTGAAGTGATGTGTTTAACTTGCATATAATGTGTCACGTTGAGAAACTTACGTCTGTGGAAGCTCGAGGCTGAATCCATACTCATGTCTTCCTGAATGGATAGTGGTGAGTCCTTCCTCTGAGTTGTCATCGTCTGAAAAAGAAGGAGGACAGCTGTATACCATACCTGTGTAAAAAGCTCTACCAAGGCATCTGAAAGTCATACAAAATTACAGGGTGGGGGAGGAAAGAAAGAGAATAGAGGGGTTTTACTACCTGAATAGCTGTCTTTTAAGATATACTGTATTGAAACAGACGTGCCAACCCATAAGTAGGTGCTAACTTGCTAAACTAGAGTAAAAAGAGAGGAAGAAAACTAACTGAAAACAAAGCACAGCACCACAATAAACAAAAGCCATGACCATCATGATAACTATAACATCAACAAACTAAATAAGACCAAATTACAGTCGTGGTAGTCTAAGTTATTGTGGATTACAAAAAACGTACATATTTAAAAAATGCCATTCTTGTGTCATTCAAAGAAACCCTTAGTCAACCTCTTTTTTACTTTACTTAATAGAATAGGCACATTTACTCGCAAAATTGGAAAGACAATGTCGCATGTCATCGCTTGTATAATTGATTTAAAGTGTCTTTTTGTTTCAATTATAACAACATTATAGGAGCTCAGTGAAGAGCAGGGTGGATAGTCTTGTTGCCAGCTCAGCACTCCCTCCCCTTCAACAGCAGCTACAGCAGCAGCAGTGTGGTAAACAAGTACAGAGCTGTCAGTCAAACGGCAGACTCCAGCAGGAGGAGACCGGCCTAAACCGGTGTGAGCAGCTTCCCTGAGCTGCTCTACTCTCATTACGCATTCACCTCAGTCACTACTACAGAGCCAGAGTGCAGCTTCAGCTGGCGCAAAATACGTTGCCATTTTTACTAGTCTGTTCTAAATTGAAACCACTCCACATTGTCAATCGATGATATACATCATGTATACATACAACAGCAGATTTTTACACTTCAAGTTTTCTACACTTTCACATGAATTGCTAAATATTTAAAACAGCATAAATTATTCTTAACTATAACAGCATTGCAAACAAACGCTAAACTAATGGACACTGTGGTGTGCATGTTTTTTCTTTTATTTCAATACCATATTATAACAAAATACATGTTTCCATTTTAAGCGTATTCCTATATCCTATATTCATGTTTATTTAATCTGTATTGCTTTATTCACTACTCAAAGCCAACATAGGAAATTCATATGCACTTGTTTCTTGCATCTAAACCACTCTAAACCTGAATTTACATGTATCTAGTCCTTAGCTGCAGTCATTACAGGGCAGTGGACCCATATTAGATAACACTATCTGACAAAACAAATGAACATGAACATTAGGTGTACATAGTGTTGGGAAGACCCACTCTTTTTACTGATTCAGATCTTTGACTCTCAAACAGTAAAATGAACGAATCATTTAATTCATTTTACAGCAGGTGGCGCTGTAGCCCTTTTGTGGGCATTGTAAAGAAGGCTGCGGTTCTCCACTACATTTAATATAATTTTCGAAAATATTTATTTACAAACACATTTTACACAATAACACCATATACATCTACCAGAGCTTCAAACCACTTATTATGATTTCATGAATAAATAATTGTCGGGTGTCACGTGACAAAAGAACGAGGACCTCAGGGACCGACGCTAAGAATGAATCACTCACTCATTACTCGTGGGAGTAACGAGTGAGTGATTCATTCGCAGAGAGTGATTCGTGAGTGATTCGTTCAATATTAACTTTTCCTTCATATGACTCGGGAGTCACGAGTCATATGAAAGATTCGTTCATATTGAAGGAATCACTCGCGAACGGCACATCACTAATTCAGACTGGAAAATATGTTTTAAATGCATTTAACAGCGCTGAATGGTTGTATAGAATAGTGTAATTTTGCAGGCTGAATAAAAAAGTTGCAGAATCTGTCTGTCTCTCTGCAGAAAGATGATGTCATTGGCCACACATGAGCACATCAGCCAATCACGTGGAACAGGGCGGGGTTTAAAGGCAAACACACCCTCTCCAGTCCAGTTTTCTGAACAGGATTGAACCGCTTTAAACAAAGAGGGTGGAAACTTCAGGAAAAAAAGCCACAAAGAAACGCTTAATAAAACATGGGTCTGCATGAAAAATGTGAGACAAAAGGCACAACGAAGTCTGTTGTTACTGTATCCCTAATTGTTTTGCGAAAATGAAATTTAGAGTGAGGGTTTTATTCAAGTAGAAATACTGAGGGAAACACGGATGTGCTGTCATTCATTCTGTCACCTGGACACAAACAAGTGACGACGTAGATGTTTGCAACCACCATATCCCAACAGTTACGTCAACCTAAGCAAAGTCGACTAAATGCTACATATAAACGGAAAATTATTTTACTTGTTTGAGATGTGATGAAAAAACCAACAGCATCCTTCCACATGCAAACCTTAGTCAGCACAAAGAGCATTCCTAGTCCACTTTTAACTAAACAGCTAACATTTTCAAATAAACTTAAAAAACATATTCACCTCTTTCGTGTCCAATTAAGATGTATTTGTGATTTAGATATTCCACTTCTTCTGTATAATTTTGTGTGTAGGCAGTGTTGGAACCAGCGTTTCTCGACTCAGTCCAGCGAACTTTTGCGAACCCCTTTGCGTGGATTTTGAGAGACTTGACTCGGATCTCTCCCGTCACTTCGATGATCGCTCTACCTGAGACACAGTCCCCGCTGGAGAAGACGGGGACGTTGCTGTCATTTTGACAGTCGAAGCTTACAGTGAAACCCTTTACTTTTCCTAGCACCATGGTGGAAAAAGAGACAAGCTACGCCAGGAAGTTACAAAAAGAGTCTATGAAAAAATAATCTCATGAAGTTTTTAAAAAAAGGGGATGCAGGTTGAAGATACACCGATTTGTATCTCTGCCCTGCACAAAACAGTAGGCACGATCAGTGGCTTCTTTGTGAGCAGTTCATTGAGATGTGTATGTGAAGGCTGAGTAACAGCACTAGCTGCTGTTGTCACCCGCCTCTCTTGATGGTCAAAGACAAGAGAGAGGAGCTGCTCTCCTCATTTTAAGCGACTCGGCTGTATGGAAAAACAACTTTCTGCGCACGCGCAGGACTTCACTGCCCCCTCCTTCCGTCTTCTGGACCAAGCGAGAAGTGAGTGGCGACGGCTGACAAGTTTGACCAAACAGCTGAAAGGCTGCACAAAGAAACGTCCATCAAAGTCATTCTGGGTTTCACCTCTCTATGCCTTGAGATACCATCATTGTCAGAGAGAAGAGGAAAGCCAGTCGCAGTCATTTGAAGACCCCACTCAAGCAAAAAGGAAAATTATATATTTTTTAAAAATCACATTTTACTGACAATGGCCGTAGAAGTGTTATCAGACACTGCTGCAGGTACGAAAAGGAGAAAGACCCCAGAGAAGATTCATGGACATGGTAATGGAGGACATTGAGATGGTTGGTGTAACAGCCAAGGGATGAAGGCAAACGATCTCCAGTATGAGCTGCTTAAAGAAAAAGACCAGCCATGCATGAACTGCACATACTTAAAATAATGCAAAAAAACCCAATGATATATAAAAAGAACATACAGTGTGTGTTTGATTATACTTAAATATATACACATTATACTGCCACATTAGAATACAATAGCTGAAAAAAAAAACCAATAGATCATCTTAAGGCAAATTTAAATCTATTTTTAGATTAGATAGAATATATTTATCATTTTGAAATCCTAAGAGTTGAGAATATTGTCCCTGAAGGTGACAGTATTCTCAGATCAAACAAGTGTGATTATAGTGGATGTCACCTTTCCAAATAAAATATACTAAATAAAATCTCACATACGTAAGTCAATTTAAAATTGTGATGATCTGCAGGTATCTTAGTGATTATCCTAATTTTGTACACAATTGCAAAATGTTTCATATCATAAGACATAATAATGTATTTGGGCATGAAAGCTCTTTGTGTATGCATATGTTCCACTGTCCTGTAACCTACATAAAGTATATGGCCTCCTATACATGCAAGCTCACTGCAGCCTCCACATCCCAGTGCAGACAGCAGCAGAGAATATATAGAACAACAGATCATCCTGCATTATGGCTGCAGCAGCTGGCCTGTGCAAAATTACAGGATTATACACAGGCTTGTGATAGCAGGGAATAGAGCGTGAGCAGGTCTCCAGAAAAGGATTGTACAAGATCACATATATTGTCTTTGGATTTAGATTAAACTGTTCCATAATACACACAGACCTTGAGGGGCTTTTCTTTTCAGAGAGAAGAAAAACAAGGCTCTGCAGCTCAAAATGTCACCTGCTGGTCATGAAGGCCTACTGACAGAAATAGCAAAGAACACGTTACATCTTTTGAACAGCAGTTTAATTATTCAGAGCTCTTTTTGCACATTTCAAATTATATTACAAAACTACCCTTTAAAACAGATAAATACCTAATATTATTTATTTATTTGGTAAAATCACAGTCTACGAAGCCCATGAACAACAATTCACCCACCCAGTGACAGTATTATTAAGTGAGAATAAGGATAAGAATACAATTAGGGATATAAAAATAGAAATAAGCAATCTTTTAATTGATATAATTTACACGACATCATTTCGCCAATGTATACAAGGTTTTAGCCTTTTTTGTGCCAGTAAACCTTTTTTGTAAATTTTGGACTAGGTACTACATTTATAATTTTTCACCTTAACTCGCTAACTTGGTAGTTAGTTTAACTTAAACGAGCCTAAGACAGCTGTGCTGAGTCATGTGACGGTCATGCTTATCACAGCGTGACACAACTTTACTGGAGATTATCAAGGTAAATGTTGCTCTCTAGTGTTTACCTTTTGCAATCGCATCAATTGTTAAAAATTTGGACTACCTTTTCTTGGTTAATTACAGTAACAGTAGTTTTATAGTTTTAACTGTTGCAACATCTTTATAGTCATGGACGGTGGGGTCTAACAAAATAGTTTTTATTTTGATCGTTATAAAAGCAATTATTTTTCAGATTCGACGGGCTACTCTTATTTTGAAAGAAACACCAGGAAGTTTTTCATATCTAAGAGCTGTCAGTGACTGTAAGTAAAGGACACTTATTACACTTCAGACAAAACTCAGCACGATATCATCTGAAGAACAGAATGTAAAGACGCTATGATGAATCCTTTACTTCTGACTTTTATTTGATTCGGTGTTACCATGGAACTTTTTGCCTAAACGGAACTAAACCAAACATTGTGGTGGTGATGAGCGATGCATTTGTAAGTGCCATGAAATCAGTAAAATCTGTATTTTTAAACTAAGAACAGGAATAGAACAAAGAATAAAAACAACGTTTACCTGTGTGATAAACTCCAGTTTTCTTTTCTTTGTTATAATTAAGGATGGACATTTGACCTTTGATCCTGGTAGCAAAGTTGTACATCTGCTATTTATAAACTATATCAGGAAGCTTGGTTCTACTTTCCTAAATGGGTTTCCGCCCCCGCCACAGCACAGAGACAGCCCTCCTCAAAATTACAAATGACCTCCTCACTTCAGTTGACTCTGGTTCCTTATCCATTCTCATCCTCCTCGATCTGAGCGCCGCTTTTGACACCATCTCACACCCCATTCTCCTCAATAGACTCGCTTCCATTGGTCTCTCTCACACACCCCTCACCTGGTTCCGCTCTTACCTCACTGGCCGCACTCAATATGTCCAACTCAGATCCTTCACTTCAAAACTCTCCCCTGTCACCTCAGGTGTGCCCCAGGGCTCTGTCCTGGGGCCTCTTCTTTTTATCATATACCTCCTCCCCCTTGGTCACCTTCTACGCACATTCAACATCCATTTCCACTGCTATGCGGATGACACCATTAAGGCTCATACATCTTTTATTAGCTTTGTGTCCAACAGATGGACAAGGCACAGACAGAAAACTCTGAGCCAAGGAGGAGACGAAACGGCATTTTATTGTAAATTATGTAAACACTCTTTTGTTCTGTTAAAATAATGCAGTGTTCAATAAAAAAAAGAATCGGCACAAACTGTAAACAATGACTGCAAGCGCAACCAAGCATAAGGGACTAAACTAGATATATATATTTTATATATATTTTAATTTCTGTGTTTTTGTACATGTTAATGTGTACGTTTATTCCTAGTTGAACCTTATCCAGTGTCTGATGAAGGCATACAATGAAACAGTGGGTTTAATTCAGCATGAATCAAATAATTTATGAAATCAAATGTATGCCTCATTATAATAATATACAGTCACATACCAAAATAACAGTAAACTAAACCAAACAAACCATAAATTCAAAAGGACCTATCTGACCTCCTCCACGTCTTAACCCCCACTCGGTCCCTCAGATCCTCCTCCTCCATCCACCTCTCCGTCCCACCCGCCCGCCTTAGTACTATGGGAGCCAGAGCATTCAGTCGCTCTGCTCCCCATCTCTGGCACGCATTACCACCCGACCTCCGTAACTGTGTCTCTCTCCCCACCTTCAAAACTCACCTCAAAACACACCTGTTCCGGACAGCATACTCCCTCTAACCTCCCTCCTCTGTGCTTTTGTTTATCACTGATTTTAAACATGTTTCTATGCCCTGTTTTAAATTATTATCTGTTCTTTATTTTATTTCTATGCCCTGTTTAAAATTATTATCTGTTTTATTATTTAATGTAAAGTGTCCTTGAGTGTCCTGAAAGGCGCTTTTTAAATAAAATTTATTATTATTATTAAATGCCTACACTAACTCCCCAATCTGCTGCCCTTCAAGAGCAGATAAGTCATTATGTTTTTCACCAAAGTGAATTAAAAACCACAGTGAAACTTAACACAGTTAAGAACTAGTAACAGTGAGGATCTTTGCTTTAGCAATGTGGAGCAGTCAGTTTGTCCATCTTACTTTCAATGCCTTGATGCAAACGCGTCCACGTGGATGGATTTGCTGGTGGATATCTTACCAAGATGATGGGGAAACTGGACTTCACCTCGGGGAGTCACTTTGTCAGGTAGGCAGATATGGTCAACCTTAAATTCACTATAAATTCTTATGCTGTTGTTTGAATTCAACGTGTTTTTTGGGGGGGTTGTGTGACTGCTGCAGTAACAGAGTCGAGGCTTGAACATGAGATGTTAATTTCCTCCTGTGCAAGGAGGGACGGCCAGTTACACAACTAGTTGGGAACATGTCCACAGTCAGGATCATGGAAAAGGACTGGGAATATGCTGATAAAGCCGTGCAGTGGATTTATAAAACAGCTGCATCGTCACACCAGCCCTTTGCACTTTACCTTGGCCTGAACTTACCTAATCCTTATAAAACGGAATCTTTGGGGCCGACGGGTGGAGGATCCACTTTCCTCACTTCACCGTACTGGCTCTCAAAGGCACGTTTATAATAATAATAATAATAATAATAATAACAATAATAATAATAATACCTTTTATTTTATAGGCACCTTTCTGTCACCCAAGGACACATGTTAATCCCTGTTTTTTTCGAATCTTTATAAGACACCGTGATGATAATCTGAATTTTTTACAGGTCTCCTCTGACCTCATCACTACTCCTAAGTGGCTGCCCATGGCGGCCATAGACACTGTTGATTACTACTCCACCTTCATCAAAAACTGCAGCGGTGATTTCACTGAGGATGAAGTCAGGGGCATTCTGGCATTCTACTATGCCATGTGTGCTGAAGCTGATGCCATGCTGGGTTGGTGGACAACAGAGCCTGTGTGGTTGTAGTAATACTGTAAGCACTCGATGACATGGTATACAGCAAAAATAAATCCAGTGATGTTTTTTTATGAGTCAATTATTATATTATATTTTAGTTGTTCAGCAGAGGTATGGGTCGTAAAGTAATATAGGGAATTAATTTGAGAAGGTGTAGAAACACTGGTTTCTACACATTCAGCTGTCATCTCTTGTTTAGCAGAATCTATTTCTACACCAGTTGTATTTTCACATAATTAGTTATAAATCCAGCTCAGTTTACTGTTTCCCACATTTGTTGTGTCACCAGGCCAGGTTCTGTCCTGAGAGAAACGGAGTTCCTCAACAACATTGTTATCATCTTCATATCAGCATCAGAGTTAGCCATGGAGCATTGACAGTTCTACAAGATGTCAATGTTTGAGGGCAGTTCCAATGTTCCCCTGCTGGTCATGGGGCCGGGGCTCATCTCTGGTCTACAGATCGCTCAGCTTGTGTCACTGGTCGATTTGTTTCCCACTATGCTGGGTAAGAAAGTGTAATTTAGGTGACGACAATCTAAAGGTTACATTTTTATAAACTAACTTCATTTATCATTCATATGTTTTTGTGTACTTTTCCAAACACTATTCCACTGGTTGGTAATCTCAGTGGCAACTCTTTAATTCCTCTAATGTCCAAGTTTACCTATTTTTTTTAAGAAACAACGTCCAGATTGGGTCTTCAGTGAATACCATAATGTTAATGCCTCTACGTACATGCTAAGAAGTGGCAGATGGAAATGCATTAGCTATTCTGATGGCACCGCAGCTTTTTGGTGAGCATTGACCATTTATGCATCTTTATCATCAGAAATGACAAAATTACTCACACCTTATA